ACCGCAGGTTGCCTCTCACTGCCGCTGGGAAATACCAAGCAGGAATGTGCAACTCGATGGATCTGACATGGATTTGGTGAAAACGTGCCGAAAAACTGCTGGGAACGCTGAAAATCGGGCCTTTAGTGAACTGGGTGCCGCTGCACTGGTTTGTCTTCTCCGGTGTGCATTCTCCCTAACCAACTCTGGTTTCGTGCACAGATGAGGCCAAACGTCGCGGAACCGCCTTCAGTTTTTCTTCTCCGACCCTCCTCATGCGGACCCAATCTGTTTTTCTTCCAGTGGCCGGGGACCAGTTGTTTTCTCCAAACCACGCGGTCTCTCTTCTCGATCTGCCCTGGTCGCACCGATAGATCATCCCGCACCGCGACTGCAACTGAGCTTCTTCCACCACCTCGTGCAGGAAACGTGCAGATCGAATCTGATCTGGTCACGCTTTGTCTTTTTCGCCGGCAACCACCGCGCCGGAGACTGTTTGGTTGTACAGGTCCAGCCAAACAGGTTCATGGTAACTTTTTAACTTCTTCTAACTTTCTCTCATTAACCCGTGTTAAATCTGAGCTCTGATACCACTTGTTGGAGAAAATTAATCGCTGAAGCATGCACAATCATATCAAAGTAAAAATAGAAATAAAAAGAACATAAGAATTTTACGTGATTCGGCAGTGTGTCTATATCAACGAGTAAGACTTGTAAGAAAGAATTTCATTATGTAATTTGAGAGTACATCACCAATATATTAACAAACCTATTTATAAAGAGATTAACAGAGTTTTTCATAAATAAAAACGCTTTAGAATATACATCAAATATTTTCTAAAATAAATATAAAGAAAACCTAAATATATTATCTCTAAAATATAGATAAATATCACCATAATTAAAGATATATAACATCTATAAACTATAAAGTTGGAGATGATGCATTGCCTATTGATGTAAGTTGGGCTAAATCATTGCTCTAAAATTAGATTTTCAATTTATTTGTACTCTAGTAATTGAGATGTTACTTATAAATTTATTTGAACTTTTCAAATGTGTAATTCTAAAGATTAAAAAGAAAAAAGCTTTGGGATACTGGGTATAGATTCTGTTAATTTCATACTTAAGGAGGTGAAAATATCAAAGGAGTGACATCCTCTAGTCAATTTTATGTGCAGAAATGTAAGAGTTTTCTGTACTCAGGTGTCAAGACTGTAACGACCCTGAAAATATCCAAAAGAAGCAAATGATAATTAAAGTGTGGAAGCAAAATCAATGTTCAAGTTTTACATTCCTTACACAATAACTTAAAGTACCAACTAATGTTATAGAATTCACCATTTTGAAAGAAATAAGGAAATGAACGGAAAATAAAGAAAACTAGCATTCTACTTGCAACCCTCTTGCGGAACGGGTTTTGGATCCTGTTTCTCTTGATATGAAATTGTTAAATAAAGGATGAGTTACACTAACTCAGTGAGAATATTACATTATATCACCGACACAGAAATGAAGGTTGGTAGAAAAAAATAAAAAATAACTAATGGAGCACTAAATTAAGCAAATTCATTTATCAATAATAAAACCGTTTACCGTCCACTTAACGTAGTGAGATTTATGGAAAACAACCTATGAAAAACAATAATATTATATATATCATGGTTCCGTATATACTTGGTAACATAGTACATATTATACTTTTATATTCAAATCATTAAACAACAATTGCCCCTTTTTCATCACCAGCCTGCTGGTATCCATGGGGGTACATAGGGATGTCCCCACTACGCGTGAACCTTTTTCTTTAACATTCTCAATTACAAGTCGTCCCCATACCCCGTCCGGTATGAGCACCAAGTTACAAGTCTTCATACCCGTCCGGTATGAGACACGTTCACGGTAGGTTTTTCTATGTACTCGGTCCGTCCACTATCTCCCAGGATGTCCAGTAAGGTTGTTGTTTCATCTAGTCACTTAATCACACAAGTTTTTCGTTTACCTTTAACTTCTATTTTTCCAATTCAACCATAAATACGTAAAATAATAATACATGCATTCAAAGTTATAAAATAAATCACTAAGGCACTATCATGCATTTAAACTGTAAAAACAATCAACAGAAATCAACATAGAATAGTTTCCGATTATGACTCCATTAGCAATCCGTAATTAATCATGAATATTTTTTAAATTATACAGAATACTGTATTTATTGTTAATTAGATTTCAATTTTATAACAGAGAATAAGGTGAGGGATTCTTATTCAATTTGAGACCCGAAAAACTAAGCTGTTCACTGCGCCTATAAGCGGTTCATGGGTTCCCTGAATTTTTCTTCGAAAATTAACACGCGCTATAAGTGCCTACAAATGTCCCAAAAAAATTTTAAATCAGTCTCAGAGCTCACTTTGGCCAATTTCAAAATTCCGACACAGCGGTTTTGCTGTGCTCCGGCGATGGCGTCGCTGCCCGCAGCGACAATCCGCCTCGGGTCGGCTGTTTTCGACTGATTTTGCCTCAATACCTGTGAGAAAATATGTTAAGGAGTCTCAGTTGGCCAAAAAAATACAAAAAATTGAAACTCACCAGTGGTGGGGCTCTCCGGTGCGGCGGCTCCTCCAGCTCACGTTGCGATTGAGTGTTTTTTTCTGATTAACCTGTGGAGAAGGAAATGGTGATCACAACGGTAAAAAAATCACGCAGAACGGGAATCAAAAAAGATCTCATTAGAGGCATTTTGTGGAGTGGGACTTTGTCCACGTTTTTCGACCAATCGGCCGGTCCTTTTACTCTAATTTGGTCATGGGTGTGTTTAAAATTGAATTCAAAGCAAAATAAAATTTTTTTACCTTTTTTGGCGGTCGGAAAGGGCTCTAGTGCCATGGCGGATGGCGACGACCTCTTTCCTGACGGCTGGGTCTTCTTCTCCGGCGAGGGGGTCTGGCGGCTAGGGTTAGGATTGGTATTGATGGGGGTTATTTATATCCGTCCGCTTTTGATATGGGTCGTCCATCGCGTTTGATCTGGATCGTTCGATCATGATTAAATAGGGAGCGAATCTGGACGGTTCATCGCGATCCAATCTGGATCATCAATTGTGATCTAATCTGGGTCATCCGATCGCGTTCAAAATCTGACCTTCTGATCGCGTTTGGGGAAGGAAGATATCTAGGCCGTCCATAGGCACGGGAACGAATCTGGACCGTTTGATCGTGGGCACGTGGATCGCTCACGTAGTGCCGCGTCAGCGTCTGCTGCCACGCGGCGTGTCCTGATTCATTGGGCTTGCTGACTGGGCATCCGACATGGCAAAACTTCTCTAAATTGTATTTTGACCCCCGATTTCCGATTTTTTTTTTCAAAAATAACTCCATAACCAAATTTTTACTCCTTTTTCTTGAAATTGTTTTCAATTTCATCATTCATCAAATTTATTTTATTTTTACTCCAAAATAAAATTAAAAAATTACATTTAAATAAATTTAATTTACATTAAATTTAAATTTGGGCATTACAAAGATAGGTGAGTGTCCGTTATCAATGTTTGTTTGCAATTTTTGTAATACCTGATTCATCCCTGCTTCTATCGTGGAATCACTATTCCTATTGCATGAGCTCTCGGGATTGCTTTGTGTTAATTATTTTATTCTCGTTCCTATTTATTGCCCACTGTATATTTTGGATAAGAATATCGAAGCTATAGGCCAGATAGCTTGTGACTTTTGTTCGTTCTCATATCTGCTCTCTACAATTCACCATTCTGTGAAACAAGGAGTAGGATTCTTTGATTATCGATGATATTAGGAATGAAATTTCTTATTTCTTTATTATTGCAGTTCCTGCTAAAATGATTGAACTTTATTTGGATCTAAGGGCGGTGGCAGAAGAACAGATTAAAGTATGTACCATATCTGCCTGGTAATTAATATATCTTAATTCTTTTACAATTCTCCTAGTCTTTGAACTGATGATATTTTGCTTTGATTATAAATTGTTGGCATATAGCATTATATGGGACCAACCTCAGACAAGCTTCTTCCAGACTTGCATCCATCGAAGCAACATGTCTTCACACTGGTTCTAGATCTTAATGAGACACTTCTTCATACTGATTGGAATGTGAGAACTTGATACCATGCATAGTGGTTGGTGATCGTTACCCTTATGCACGTACCATGCATAAATTTCTTTAATAGGATGTTGCATTTAAACAAGTGTTTGCAATTCCATGGTAACTTTTGAATCGACTAAGCTTCAAAATAAATAAATCTATCTTTTGAATTCACTTCCGTTACTTGAACGACAGTGTACTCCATAAGACTCTGGATTGGACAGTATATGTATGTTTGTAATGTAGCGCATCAGTGTCCATCTTGTTTATTTAGTGGAAAAACAATCATCATAACTTCCTTTTTTTGGGTAGCAAGTTCTGAGTTGCAGTCTAGTGTATTCCGTGTTAAGGTTTTGATGAGTGGGTCAATATGCACAACCCAATACTGCGTATGGGATATTTTTTATCAACAACTGTTTACGTCTATAATGATTTCACTTTTTTTCTTCTCTTTTCTGGCATATGAAGCGGGAAAAAGGCTGGAGAACATTCAAAAGGCCCGGGGTTGATGCCTTTCTGGAACATCTTGCTAACCTTTATGAAATTGTTTTGTACACAGACCAAAATGACATGGTGATTTACTTTTACTCGTTTGGATTACTGTTTCTGTTAAATTTCATAAACTAGTTATGATATCAACTGTTTATCTTTTTTTTCTTTTTTTTTTTGGGGGTGGGGGTGGGGGGAGGGTGCAGTATGTGGTCCAGTTTGTGATAGGTTGGATCCAAACAAATACATTATGTATCAACTTACAAGGGAAGCTACCAACTATGTTAATGGCAAGTTTTGTAGGGTATGTTATTGCTATTTAACTGTTTCCACATTCTTTTCTTTGTTCTGCATTGATTGGAGCCAGCTATTCTGAATTTCATTTGGATGGGATTGTGCTATACTTTTGTACCTCTATTTGGTCATCTGCCCCATCTTTTGTTGGTTTCTTTTCTTTTTGTTGATTTCTTTTCTTCTTCTTTTGTTGAGAAGGATGTATCTTTATGGACTTAAGAAAGTCACTAAAGGCTCTTGATCTGTAAGAATGTATCATCATCTTTTATATGATTAGCCTCTTTTCCTCAGCTCACAAATCCTCTTTTTAAACAGCTCGGTAAAATGGTCTTTTCTGTTTAGGAACTACGTTTTTCTTTGGCAGGATCTGTCCAAGCTCAATAGGGATCCGACGAAGATCCTTTATGTGAGTGGGTATGCATTTGATAACACCCTTCAGCCAGAAAACTGTGTACCCATCAAGCCATTTAAGCTCGACTTTGATGACACATCTCTTTTGGATCTTATTCCCTTTCTTGAATGTGAGTATCCTGCAGTTTACAATAAATATATTCTGTATAATTTTGATGTTTTCTTCTTTAAACTTGCTTGATTGTAGAGGCAAAATGTTTTTTTATGCAGATGTTGCTCGTAATAGTCCTGCTGATATCAGGACTTTGCTATTGTCTTATGAAAGAAAGGATATTGCAAAGGAGTTCCTCGAGCGCTCCAAAGAGTATCATAGGTACGAGTTGTTCTCTGCGGTTGTTCACTTATACTACAATTTGTACTAGTAAAGTAGAAAAATAAGTGAAATCGTGAGTTGACCTTTGAGTCGATTAAATGATGATACAGACGAATGCAAGAAGAGAAGAGGCATAAACGGTTCTGGAAACGATGAAGACCGGATTTTGTACAGTTGATGGAAGGCGAAGCAGATGAATACAACATACATCATACAACATTTGCTTTGCAAGTCAAAACCATTTCTGGTAAAATTTGGTACAAGTGAAGGAACAAATAAGTTGAGCATGTGTGTTTAATTAAATAGTAATTAGTTTTCTGTTTATTGAAAATAAATAATTAATGTAATTATATTAAATATTCTTATTCTATTTTTTTTTTCTCAAATTTTTGAAATAGATTATTGAAAATGTTTCTAATAAAAATTATAAAAAATATATATATTTTTGTTGAATATGAATGATATAGTTTAGTCACATGTGTTTGTGTTGTTATTATTAATTCATATAATTTTGTATTTATATATATTAAAATAGTATTGGTTATAATATATAATACAAAAAATATTATATAAAATGTTATATTAATAATCATAAATTTAAATTTATGTTTTCTCATAAAAATATTACATAAATTAAAATATTACTAATTACAAGAATTAATATTAAAACTATTATTAAATATCTTATAAGTATATACATATATATATACAATAACCATAAATTTAAAAATGTATTCTCTTATATAATTAAAATATTATCAATTGAATAAAATTATTTAATAATTTCTTAAGTATGTGAAGTTAAATTTGTGATATACAGTGTATATATTAATTATTTTAATCATATGTTAATTATTTTAAAAAGTTAGTACTCATAAAAAAAATTGAATTAATCATTACAATGATTATGATTATATTCATTGAGTTATATCATACATGATCTCCAAACACAAATATACAGGAATATTTTAAGCATCCAAAATGTCAAGAACTCTGAGACTCTCTTCTTTATATTCACATGTGGATTCCCATATGACTTTTAGTTCCACATGGCTCACTCTTTGCTTCTCCTCTGCCTCCTCCTTTCTTTCCTCATCTCCTTCACCAACCATGGCATCGACGACGACGAACCTACCACCGGCCGTACAAATCCAGATGATGCCCCCTGCAATCTCCGGTCAAGGACCTTCATTGCAGTGAAAATGTGGTGCTTATTCGTCGTCTTTGTAAGCGCATTTTTGGCGGATTGTCGCCGTGCTTCTTGAAGTGGAACGAGGGGTTCTTGGTTCTGGGAACTCAGTTTGCTGGAAGGGTGTTTCTAGGTACTGACACGATGCATTTCTTGAGCAATGCCAATGAGAGTTTTGGTGATTTGATGACGGTTGAGTACCCTTTTGTGTTATGTTGGCTTGATGTGGGTACCTCTTGAATATGGTCGCTGATTCTGTTATTTGCCATTTTTTTTGGGAAACAGCAGAGTGGCGACATGGAAGCTCAAGGTAAACAATTTTACACAAGTTCTTTCCCTTTTTTTTTTTTTTCTTTTTTCTTTTCCTGGTTGAGAAAAAATAGGGAGAAGAAGTTTGTAAGTTGGAAGTTAGTAAAAAATGTTTCCATCGTTATGTTCGATTTTCCAGAGTTGAGACTCTATTTCGTTTTGTTTCTCGGGAAAATGTGGAAAGACTGAATGTTCAGTCTTCTCTCTCCCTCTCTCTCTTTTTTTCTCCCCTCATGGTTTTTCAGTTCAAGCGATAAGAAAAATCAGGGAGAAAAAGTGCTAAATTTACAAAATTTCAGTAGATTTTGTTCGTTAGGTTATGTTTGTTACTCAGACGAACTGGGAAAAGTCTTTCAGAAACAAGAGTATGTGGACTTCGTTCACCCAGATTTTGTTTTTTAGGTTATGTTCGTAATGGTTTTGTTCCTTTTCCGTTAAAACTCGCACATTTTTTCTCCATAACAAGGGGTCTCAAGCAGGGAAAAGACGACGGTCACAATATTCAGGTGACATGCTTATACAACCCAACTTTTCAATTTGCAAAATCTGGAATCAAGAATTGAATTTCGATCTGATTTTCTTTTTATGTAGGTTTCTATTGGCAGAAAAGCCACCCACTTCAAACACTCTTCATTTGCAACAGTCATCTCACTTGGAGACAACATTCTCTTGATTGTAGCCTTGTGCTTCCACTCTGTTTTTGAAGGTGTTGCCATAGGAGTTGAAGAGACCAAAGTCGATGCCTGGAAAGCTTTATGAACCATCAACTTGCACGAGATATTTGCAGCTATTACAATGGGAATAACTCTCTTCATAATGATCCCAGATCGCCCTTTTATATTGTGTGCAAAGTATGGATTTGCATTTGCTGTTTCGAGCTCAGTTGCGGTGCCAATTGGGATTGTGATTGATGCCACAACCCAGGGTGTAGTTACAAACTGGATTTTTGCCATATCAATTGCTGTAGCATGTGGTGTTTTCATCTATGTACCAATAAATCATCTGATACCCAAGGGATACATACCTCAGAAGCCGATTCTGTTGAGACCCCCCTTTTAAAATTTTTGACTATTTTGTTGGGTATTTGTGTGATTGCTGTTGTCATGACCTGGAACACCTGAAATTCAAGTTTATAGCCTGCACTTCGAGTGTAGAAACAGAAATGGTTTCATAGTATTATACTATTAAGTACCTTTACTGTAAGTTCTACAAGACGAGGGACACGTTTGCCTGAAAGATAAGAGTTGTAAACATCAGCCAAAAAGGCGAAGCTATAATATACTATGTAGCCTGTGATTCTTTCCTGAATTCTTGCTTAGCTTATCTGATAAAAATTGATTCGAATTTAATACAGACATGGACAGTCATTACAGAGTCCATATGTTATGAATGCTCAGCAATCTAACCCACTATAAGGTGCAAAAAGTCACTAATGAATTTTTCAATTAGAAGTTAGCATACAAATGAGACTCCAAAAAATTCTTCAAGCAACAAAAATATCAACTTGAAACGTGTTTGAATAGATATGTCAGCTAAATGATGCCAGGTGAGCTTTAGAGATCTGAATGGAGAGCTTTCTCAAGGCAAACTGACACAACAATAGGTCCTGCCAAGTCCCCAAGAGCACATCCTGCAATAAAAAGCAAAAAGAGAGTAATAATAATGTTGCAAATAAAAAGGCTGGCACATATTTGACATGTTAGAATCTTAAAGTGCCTCTATTCGGGCTTGGTTCTTCTATAATATTTTTTTGAAACATTAATACTTAACTAATATTGGAACAGTATATACTAAATGAAATCTTATTGAGGTTGATTTTATATAGTTCGAGCTTATTTAAGATCATTTAGGCTTAGTTCTTTCATTTCTCCAACCAATATTAAAATGCATGTTTCTCGAACAAGTCAAGCTCGAAGGTAAAGCAAAATTCAAATCTAGTAGAAATCAAGCCAGACAGCATTCTAAAGCAAGAAATCCAAATATTCATATATTTGACTCACTTCAGCTTAGTTCTACTCCTAACCATGATCATCAAGAAGTTCAATAAGTTGGGTGCAGATGGTCGGCTTACCAATCCACTGTCCAGAACTAGGACGAATGAGGACTGCACCTATCCCAGCTCCAATTGAAGCGAAAACAAGTGATGCACCGCATCTGATAGTAATACCTGAAACTTTCTTCCCAAGAACTTTAGCTTGTTCTGATTTATTGACCTGATTTTCCTCTTCTTCCGAGTTTGTTATGCGAGAAAAGCATCGGAAGATTTCTATACCAACTTGGACTAGCCATGATGCAGCAACACCTAGAAAGTGTCCTGCTCAAACAAAGTTATGCTAGAGGTTAACATAATGAGATT